TAAGAACTTATTGCACAAAATCATTTTATCTCTCATCAAAGATGGCAGAAAAATGCATTATTGTACTCAGGGGTGGAGATTTGACAAAGGATTACTCAAAAAGTACACAGTAAAAATACTTGATTGTAGTTTTGGTAGTAGTCCAAGTAGTACTGAATCCAACAGTACCAATTACATTAAGAACTTATTGCACAAAATCATTTTATCTCTCATCAAAGATGGCAGAAAAACATGCATTATTGTACTCAGGGGTGGAGTTTGACAAAGGATTACTCAAATAGTACACAGTAAAAGTACTTGATTGTATTTGTGGTAGTAGTCTAACATGTACTGAGTCCAACAGTACCAATTTTATTAAGAACTTATGGCAAAAATCATTTTATCTCTCATCAAAGAGGGCAGAAAACATGCATTATATCTGGAGGGGAGTTTGACAGGGGATTACTCAAAAGTACACAGTAAAAGTACTTGATTGTACTTGTGCTACTAGTCCAAGTAGTACTGAGTTCAACAGTATCAATTTCACCTAAGAACTTATTTTTAAAAATCCTTTTATCTCTCATCAAAGAGGGCAGAAACACATGCATTTATTGTACTCTGGAGGGGAGTTTGACAGGTATTACTCAAAAGTACCCAAGTAAAAATACTTGATTGTAGTTTTGGTAGTAGTCCAAGTAGTACTGAATCCAACAGTACCAATTACATTTAAGAAACTTATTGCACAAAATCATTTATCTCTCATCAAAGATGGCAGAAAACCATGCATTATTGTACTCAGGGTGGGTAGTTTTGACAAAGATACTCAAAAAGTACACAGTAAAATACTTGATTGTAGTTTTGGTAGTAGTCCAAGTAGTACTGAATCCCAACAGTACCAATTACATTAAGAACTTATTGCACAAAATCATTTTTATCCCTCTCATCAAAGATGGCAGAAAACATGCATTATCTGTACTCAGGGGTGGAGGAGTTTTTGACAAAGGATTTACTCAAAAAGTACACAGTAAAAGTACTTGATTGTACTTTTGGTAGTAGTCACAAGTTAGTACTGAATCCAACAGTTTCCAATTACATTAAGAACTTATTGCACAAAATCATTTTATCTCTCATCAAAGATGGCAGAAGAAGAAAACATGCATTATGTCCTCAGGGGTGGAGTTTGACAAGGATTACTCAAATAGTACACAGTAAAAGTACTTGATTGTATTTGTGGTAGTAGTCTAACATGTACTGAGTCCAACAGTACCAATTTTATTAAGAACTTATGGCTAAAAATAATTTGATCCCCTCATCAAAGATGGCAGAAAACATGCATTTATGTACTCAGGCGGTGGAGTTGACAAAGGATTACCTCAAAAAGTACACAGTAAAAGTACTTGATTATACTTTTGGTAGTAGTCCAAATAGTACTGAATCCAAACAGTACCCAATACATTAAGAACTTATTGCACAAAATCATTTTTATCTCTCATCAAAGATGGCAGAAAACATGCATTATTGTACTCAGGGGTGGAAATTTGGACAAGGATTACTTCAAAAAAGTACACAAGTAATAAAATACTTTGCATTATTTAGTTTTGGTAGTAGTTCCAAGTAGTAATGAATCCAACAGTTACCAATTGCATTAAGAACTTATTGCACAAAATTTTCCATTTTTATCTCTCAATCAAAGATGGCAGAAAACATGCATTATTGTACTCAGGGGTGGAGTTTTGACAAAGGATTACTCAAAAAGTACACAGTAAAAATACTTGATTGTAGTTTTGGTAGTAGTCCAAGTAGTACTGAATCCAACTGTACCAATTATTAAGAACTTATTGCACAAAATCATTTTATCTCTATCAAAGATGGCAGAAAACATGCATTATTGTACTCAGGGGTGGAGTTTGACAAAGGATTACTCAAAAAGTACACAGTAAAGTACTTGATTGTAGTTTTGGTAGTAGTCCAAGTAGTACTGAATCCAACAGTACCAATTACATTAAGAACTTATTGCACAAAATCATTTTATCTCTCATCAAAGATGGCAGAAAAAACATGCATTATTGTACTCAGGGGTGGAGTTTGACAAAGGATTACTCAAAAAGTACACAGTAAAAGTACTTGATTGTAGTTTTGGTAGTAGTCCAAGTAGTACTGAATCCAACAGTACCAATTACATTAAGAACTTATTGCACCAAATCATTTTATCTCTCATCAAAGATAGGCAGAAAACATGCATTATTGTACTCTGGAGGGGAGTTTGACAGGGGACTACTCAAAAGTACACAGTAAAAGTACTTGATTGTACTTGTGCTAGTAGTCCAAGTAGTACTGAGTTCAACAGTATGCACTTTTATTAAGGATGCATCGATAAAAATCATTTTATCTCATCAAATATAGCAGAAGTTGCATGATTTTGTTCTCAGGAGGGGAATTTGAGAGTATTACCCAGAAAAAAGACAGTAAAGTACTTCATTTTATTGTTGGTAGCAGTTCAAACTAGGACTGAGTCAAACAGTGTTAGTTTTTTTAAGAACTCATGGTAAAAATAATTTGTATCGCATGAAGCAGAAAAAAAAAGCATTATTTTACTCTTGCGTTGGTGCCGCTTCTCAGCGATTACCGTAAAGGCGCTATAAATCGCGCACTCAGAAATGAAGAACTGCTCATTTGACCAAGCAAATTTGAGAGACGGCTGAGTTGACCGCAGTGTCATGTGATGGCAGACTGTGCAGCTTGAAAGCAGACAGCGGATGGCAAGCACCCAGAAGGGGTGGGTTTGGTTACAGCAGTGTGTCCTAGTGGACGGGCCACTGTTAACAAAGGGCCTGATGAGTGTTTGAAACCGTTCATCTCTACTGCCTTTATCTCTGTCAGGAAGGGTGGAGGACAAGCGGCAGGTCACGGTGTTGCGAGACAGTGGTGGCTCACAGTCATTCATCCTTGCCGGTGCCCTGCCCCTGAGGGCTGAGTCTGCCTGTGATGCGAATATGGTGGTGAGAGGTATTGAAATGGGTTCTGTGCCCGCACATCTTCACAATGTCCATGTCCAGTCTGAACTGGCTACTGGTTTCTTTCCAGTTGCTGTGCTCCCCAAATGTCCTGTCGACGGTGTAGATGTCATAATGGGTAATGATATAGCCGGAGGTAAAGTGTATCCTCCGAGTAATTATCCTCACTGTAGGGCTCGTAACAGACGTGTCACACATGCTCATTCTGTTTCTCTCCCAGGTCCCGACACTAAGAGATTGTGTTTCTCTTGTCTTGACCCTGGTCATTTAGTGGTGGAGTGTGTGGCTTGGAAGCAGCAGGTGGCAGCTTCCAAGTATTCAAAAGTAACTATGTAATGTGTGTTTTGGTAACTGTGGCCAAACACTTGTTTGGTTTTATGGGGGGGGGGGGGGGGGGTGTTACGTGCCGTAGTGTTTGTGTGGGTGTGTGTCTTTTTCTCTCTCCCTCTGATTCCCCAGGTGCAGCCTGATTGTCCCCAGGTGCAGCCTCTCCCCAGGTGCTCCCAATCCTCAATCAGGGCCTCCATAAAGGACCTGAGGAAGGCTGCAGTCGCGCTCTCCTTCTCCTCTGGCTGCATGTGTGCATCATGTCTCTATCTCTGTGTGAGGCCTGTGTTCTTGTGAATTGTTAGATTTGCTCCAGTTTACCTTTTCGTGTATTGTTTATTTTAGTTTGCTTTGCAAGTTGGCTGGTGAGCCCTTTTTCTTTTGTCCATTAAAACATCATTTTGTGGCTTCAGTAGACAGTTTCCTCTCCTTTTTCTCTCGCCCGATTATTCTGGTGTTTTTTTACTTCCCTTTGTACCCCTAGTTAGGAGGGAACGTAACAGTGTTGTAAAAAATAAAGAAATCATTCCAATGTGTAGCCTACTATAGGACAGACAAAAACGGGGAGTGATTAGTAAAATATGCATAAATAAAAAGAAAGAATACTATAGGTAAAATAAGATAAGAATAAACAAGTTTAAATGATTTGTTATTGGTTGTGATCATATAAAGATTTTTTGATTATTGAAAAGTATACAGCTCCCTTTCATCTGAGTGTTGAGAGCTGTATCCATAAATTCCTTTTGTGCTCAAAGTGCACCAGATTGATGCATTTAACTTCAACATTTGAAAATATCTTCCCGGGGCTGCATGCCCCCTAGAGAAGGTTAGGTCCAATAAAGCAGGTTAAAATAATTTTCTTTTAGTAAACACTGAAAACGTGTCCCACAGACCCAAACGGCATACAAAGGTACGCATATAATAAAGGTGTAATGAAACAAATACCAATAACTGTATTGCATTGCTTTCTTAGGTGTATGCGCACCACCGCATACTGTCTTTTTCGTCCTGCATTTATTGTGCCCCCCTCAGAAAATAACTGGCCCCAGCCTGGCCCCCCCAGTCAAATTGGTCTAGAACCGCCACTGCTCACGAGCATCCAAGCTAGTGAATTTCGAATGAGAAAAATCTATATTATTTGATCTCTATATGTTTTCAGACTATTTTTGTGCATGCATGCTTGTGTGTGTGCATGCTGTACGTTTGAGTGATTTACACTGTCGTTACTGCGCGTGTGCCCTGAGATGCAAGTGCATTATGCAGGAGGCTTATGAGAAAGTATTTGGCTGGCTGTTTCACTTTTACACCAACAACTGCTCAGCATCCCAAACTGTGAGGTTCCATTAAAGCCTGGAAGTGGACCGCCTGACGGAGACTTTTAGCATGAGAGGGTAACCGGAGAGCACCTCTGAGTCAGGGAGAGAAACTGGGTGATCAGGTGTCAAAAGAAGAGAGAGCTGAGGGGGAGATGGAGTAATGAAGGAGTTATCATGGTGGATTTGAAAGGAGGGTTTAGAAGCTGCATACCTTTCTAGTAAACAGGTGTAAAAATGTCATAAGTGTGTTCGTCTGAGCCAAGAGAGAAACTTTCTGCACTTTCTTGAGACTTTGTTTGGGCTCATATGCGTGTGTCTGTTTGAGCTGCGATGGAGGTGCAAGGAAAGGCTGACAGGTAAAAAGAAGAGAAGAGAGGGGAAAGTGTGAAGAAGTTAAGAAACGTTGCTGCAAAAGGAGAAGCTGATTTTCTACTACGGACTGCCCCTGCTCCGGATCATAAACCCTTCAGCCTGCCTTGGACTCAATGTAAGCTCCTTACTTCTATACTTTTCATACATTTTAGTTTGATAATTCTTTAAAAAGAACAGCTGCTTCATAATGTACACATTGCAAACTCTTGCAGGTCAAATGCCACTGATTTATGTCAGAGCTTCAACAGTAATGAGCAATCCTGTTAAGATTTAGGTAAAAAGGTGTGGAGACAATTCAACAAAAAGCATCATCTGCTGACTGTGTGAGAGAGTGCGGTAAAGCGGCGCAGTTTAATCTGAGTAATGGTTCTGTGCCTCAGGTTACAGAGCGTGTGGCAGTGAGGCAAACACAGGCCTCATGTTTTAAACATGTTGACAGAGATGCAAAATGTGTGCAAGGGTTAGTTTAAAAAGGTGATGAGAGAATGATACTAAACAAACTCCTTCATATTAACTTGTTTTATAGAATGCACCATTTAAGATAGAACATTTTAGATATATATAGGAACTCTTATACTTTCTTTAAACCCATTTATATATTAATTAATTGCAATTTCCCTTTCTCTGATGACTATTCGAAACACATAAAGCTATGGATCTTTTAAGCTAGGCTAGGCTTACTGTCTCCCAGCTGTTGCTTTATATTTTTGATGATATCAATCTTATTATCTACTTCTTGTAAAGATAGCTAATATTTCTTTTAATTGTATATTGATAAGGTCTGGAGCAATACATAGGCCTTAAGGTGAGGTCTGTCATGATAAAGATGACATTTCTTCACAGATTAAGAGAAATATTGGATGATAATGGCCCTTTACCTGCTGCAAATAGTGATAATGTGTAGATATCCCACTCATAGTATTTGATTGCCTGTGTTAGTTGTTTTATTTTAATGTATTTATTACGTTTATTTAAGGATTTTATTTTGAATATTCCTTTCCCACCTGTCATCCTACCAGTATTTATGCTTTCTATCATAACAACCTAGTGAGGCTGTCCAACAACATCATCTCCGACCCAAACCATGTTCTGAACAGTGAATATGAACTGCTACCATCTAATCGGAGATACAGGGTCCCACGATTCAATAAAGTCAGACTGAAGCACTCCTTTGTGCATCAGTCAGTCCTCACAGTAAATACAGAGCTAAATCCCAGACCAAATGCACGCTGAAGGCTCTTTGAGCATGTTTTTCTCTCACTGATTGTGCTGTTATGTTAAATGTTTGTGTTTCATGTATTTGTGTATGCATATTTGTCTGTTGATGTTGGACATGGAGCTGCTGTGACGCAAGTCAAATTTCAGACTTGATCTGACAATAAAGTAATATCGTATCGTATCGTATCGTATTTCTATGTCAGATACTAAAACTCCAAATCAGAAACAGGTTTATTACCAGGTAGGTTTACACATACGAGGAATTTGACTTGACGTCATGGTGCGTACATAAAAATAAAACATGAATTAAAAACACAGGTAGGGAACGAGAAAAAATATAAAAAATAATAAAAAATATAATATAGTAAAATATAACAGTATTTACAATGCAATGGAATGAAAAACGGAATAAAATATGAATAAAAATCGGCAGTAATAAAAAAGACAAGAAAACAGATATAGTGTACATTGTGTGTGCATTAATGTAATGCATAGAGTCTGCGTTGTGGCTGAGGTAAAGTGTCAGTGGGGGGGCCGGGCTTTGTTTAAGAGGCCGGTAGTAGAGACAAACAGATGAACTTCTCTCTAAAGACAATAACACGATGACACAGCTGAGGTGTTAAATGTTAACTGTCAGCCTACGCCCGTCCCAGGGTCCAGGCAGGCCAAAGGTCCACGGCTGAGAGACTCCTCCTCGGAGAGATAACCTGCCTCTCTTCAGCCTCTCCGGGATCCAGCTTCCGGTCTGAAGCCTCTGCAAAACTCCAGTCCTGCATTCAGTCCAGAGGGATCTGCACCGAGAGGCTCCACACGGGACTAACAGGGAACTCTTATGAAGGTACTCGTCTCTGTCCTTTAATCCAGCACCAGACACTTTTTTGTTTACGCTGCTATGGACAATCTTGCACCAAAGATATTAATATTGAAGTGACTGTTATTTTGTATATATTGATTGTTGTGTTTTTTATCTTAATGTGTGCATATGTGTCTATAGGATATACATTTTGTATACATATTTGTATACATATCTGTATATTGTATAATTGTATTTTTGTATTCCGGGTTGTTGGAAACGTCCTTTCGATCTCTCCGTCTGTACACACAAACTGAAAGATTGACATTAAAGTTGACTTTGACTTTATCGTGTCCTTAAGTAAAGAACCACAGGGATACTTTATCGTAATAATGCTACTCCCTCAGGGGTTTTATGGGGAAACGAAGGTGTGTTCATGTGCCTCTATGTGTGTGTGAATAATCAGTGTCATAAGGCTACCCTGGACAAATTCCAGTAAATAACCTGACACTTCCTATTAGTTCTACCACCTTTATGATCCAATCTCTCTTGTTCAACTCAGCTTTGGTAATGTCTATTAGGTTCAATGATTTCTCCAAGTGTGTCTACATGTTTGCCTGTGTCGTTAATAATGATCAATCCTGCAAAATCTGATTTGACTTTGCGTCCAAAATGATCCAGAGCTGGGTGTGTGTGTGTGTGTGTTTCAGGTTCACCACTGAGAAGCTACAATGGAGAGTCACGTCACACAGATTTCCAGGGACGACCTGGAAGATCTCAGAGAGGCCTTTAATAAAATCGGTGAGTTTCTCTCGCACGCACGCACACACGCACACACACACACACACACACACACACACACACACAGACACACACACACACACACACAGACACACACACACACACACACACACACACACACACACACACACACACACACACACACACACACACACACACACATACCTGACACCTACAGTTGTATTGACGGATGATCTTGCCTGATTTCGACCTTTACAGCTGACCTGAATGACTCTTGTATAAGATATTTTTATTGCTTGTGTTGTTGAGTGCATGTGTGAGGTATTCCAGAAGTAATAATGAGACGTTGCAAGATGTTATCAGTAAACTTATAAATCATAAGTACATAGGTGTATAATTGCAAAAATGCTGATAATAGTGAGCCATAAAAAAAAGCCCAAAAGATAAACTTGTAAAATGGGTCCGACTTAAATATTGTACAGTTTAAAATGACATGTAACACTTTATTTTACTCGGCCCAGTTAATGTAATTTCCCTCAAAATAATGTTCAGTTACATTAAAGGGACTTTTATTTGTCCGAATTATAACTTAAATGCATCCAAGGTTCAATTGGTGCACGTCCAATTGGATACATTCCAGTTCTCATAATCAAGAACAGCTTTGTCAGCAAGCCGGCGTTTCAGCATTTGTTTTTGATCTTCACCAACTATGAGGAAGTATGTGCAATAACTGGCCGATGTATATTGTCAAATAAAAGGATTTGGCAACATATTATACAGAAAAAAGGTTTATCATTAGTTCAACACTTCAAATCAACTCTGAAATTTGATCAGAATCAGGTTTATTGTCCAATAGGTCGACCATAGTGGTGCAAACATAAAAGCAGTATGAGGAAATACGGTGTAAGAGAAGGAATACAATTGAACAATTAGAAATAGAAAGTATTTCAAAAACGATTTATAGGAAGGAATATACATTTACAAGTAATTAGGTACTAGGTCAATATGACAAAATACAGTATATTAGATGTTAGAGTAAAGGGCAGATTTTAAAAGTATTTATGTGAGTATATTTGAATGTAAGTATGTATTATATCATATAGTGTTTGGGTTATGAAAATGAACTGGAGAGAAATGGAACAAATGCATTTTTGTAAGTGTTTATTTTTAAAAGTGCCACCCGAGGCAAAATACAAAAAAAGTTTTAATATACTTGTCAATTTAAGGTTTTGGAATATATTGACTTCACAACATTTATTCTTTCACACTAGTGGGAAGAGAAGATCCAAAATATTCCAATGTTTCTTATGATGTAGCAAAAGTTAGCATATACCATCATGTACAACGTAATATTTGGCATATTTAAATTCAGGAAACTTGTAATACAAAACCGATTGCTTTAATTCATGTAAGTGATAAATGAAGGAAGTTTCTTGGTGTTATTTTCTCTTTCCATGTTTTACTCTTCACCTGGAATGTCTTTCTTTAAGCACACAAAGTATTTGCAAAATATCTGTGTCTTTAGTTGTCATGTCTGTGCAGTTTAAACAGCACCAGTGTTTTATCTTTTGTTACCATCTAAGTATTATCATGCCAAAGTGCAGCTGAGGTATAAGCAGATAATTAATGAAGATGGAGTGACAATAAAGCAATAACTGCTTATTAACTCAACACACTTCATCCAACTCAAAGATTGGTCTTTATTGTCCTCATATAGCCAGTACCAAATTACGTAGAAACCTGTATTTAATTAAATTATTAAGAAATGACCTTTTAATGAAGCCCTACCAGTCCATTGTTTGTCTCTGCTTTTATCATCTGTGGGCAATATTTACCCAGAATATTGAGGGCATCATCATCAAATTGACTTGCGCTCCTACCTGTGTGTGTGTGTGTGTGTGTGTGTGTGTGTGTGTGTGTGTGGTGTGTGTGTGTGTGTGTGTGTGTGTGTGTGTGTGTGTGTGTGTGTGTGTGTGTGTGTGTGTGGTGTGTGTGTGTGTGTGTGTGTGTGTGTGTGTGTGTGTGTGTGTGTGTGTGTGTGTGTGTGTAGATATTGATAACAGCGGCTTTGTGAGCGACTTTGAGCTCCAGGAGTTGTTCAGAGAGGCGAGTTTCTCCCTGCCGGGGTTCAAGGTGCGAGAAGTCATCGAGATCTTCCTCAGCGGAGACACCAACAAGGACGGGAAGATCAGCTTTGAGGAATTTGTTTCTGTGAGTCATGTGCAGATTGTGTGCAGATATGTTGACGTACCATCTTTAAAGGTCACCTATTATGAACCATTGTGTTCTTTGTAACCAAATATCTCTCAGAGGGGCGTGGGGAGGGGCTCCTTATTTTCATCTAAAGTAACAGACAGAGAATCAGCACTTTGGTTACAGGGCTGAAACAGAGGGGATTATGGGTAATGCTGCAATGATCTGTTTGGTGTTTGGAGCCAAACACTTCAGAGACATGTTTTGTATATATCTGAGAGCTATAATATATTGAGGAAAAACAGTATAATGTACCTTTAAACTGTGCATGGAGTAACTGTCTGTTCATGTTCAGATCTTCCAAGAGCTGAAGAGCAAGGAGTTCAGTGAAACGTTTAGGAAGATCATCACGAGGAAAGATGGGATTCGCTCCTTTGGAGGAATGTCTAGAAAATCCAGCGAGGGGACACAGCACTCCTACTCCGGTGAGAGTGTGCAATAATCATTTATAAGTCTGCATTAAGAATTATATTTGAGTATAATCAGATACATGTACCTTCAAGTATTAATACTAAAAGTCCATCATGCAGAAAAACATTAAAAAAACAAGAAGAAAAACAACATAACCAAATAAATACATTACAAAACAATGTTTTAAACATTTACATTTGTCAATACATTTGATATATTATACTTAAAATGTTTAGAAAAAAAAGTATAATCAGTTAAATGTACCTTAACGTATTAATATACTAAAAGTCCATCATGTAGAAATAAAAAAAATACAGTGAAAATGTATAATTGTCAATACATTTAATATATATTTATACAAAAAAACTTCATTCGTAAATAAACTTAGCCGGCCAGAGAACTGAACTAGAAAGACGTTAATTCCTTCTGAATTTAATGAAGTAGAAAGTAACTTCCAAAGAAAGATCTCAAGTAAAATACAAGTACCTTAAATGTGTAGTCTAGTACAGTCCTTGAGTAAATGTGTGTGTGGTTGTGTGTTTGTTTAGATGAGGAAAAGGTGGCTTTTGTCAACTGGATCAATAAAGCTTTGGCCAAAGACCCAGACTGCCAACATCTGCTGCCCATGAACCCAGACGATGAGAGCCTCTTCGCCTCGGTCCGTGACGGCATCTTGTTATGGTAACGCTCACAAGGAGGAATCTGAGACATCACATATCTGAAAAACATCATCATTATTTACCCAAACGCTTTGTTGTCTTACAGCAAAATGATCAACCTGTCCCAGCCTGACACCATCGACGAAAGAGTCATCAACACCAAGAAACTGGCCACCTTCACAATGACAGTGAGTGGAGGATTTCCATCATATCCTAATACAGGGGGTCCGCGGGGTCTGAAAAAGTATTAAAAGTTGATAAATAAATTTAGCGAAAATGAAGGCTATTAAAAAGTATTAAACGGCATTTTCCAAGGTATTACATTTTGTAGCTTGTTTTCAATAAGTATATAAAGTGTCCAAAGAGGTTGTGTTCTACAGTCTGCCTGAATGTAATCATTGCGTAGGTGTGTAGTGTGATTCTGTAGTTTATTGATGGCATCCCGTTGGATTGGACGTCATCTGAACAGGACATCGCACGCTCACTGCTTGATAGCGCGCGAAGGTCCGTTTACGCCGGTTGTTAAACAACATCGTTATGGGGAAATGCAAGTTTGCGTCCAAATGGTTGGAAGATAAGGAGGAAGGACAATCAATACTGTATATAGTCAATGTGAGGTAAAGTGTGTCGCCAAGGTAACCGGTTAAAACTCAAAGTGGCGATGAGGTCTTAAAATGTATCGAAAGGGTCTTAAAAAAGGTCTTAAAAGGTTTTACATTTGACTTCAGGATTCCTGCATATACCCTGAATCTAAAAAGCAGCAAATACTAAGAAATGTGTCATGCATTGTAACCTTTATGGTAATCCATACTGAAGGAAGTACTTGCACTAGAATTTAGTGATGGGAATTACGGCTCTTTGAAGGTAGCTCCAATCAAAAGAGCCGGTTTTTTTTAAAGGGGGCGGGGTTAATAGACTGTATTGTCAGAAATCTACTTTTACTCACAGAAATGTTTTATAACTTGCTACATCTCTCAGCTAGCCAAACTACTACTCAAGCAGCACGCGTTATGCCATCATCTTGTGTTGTAATGGTACTACACATCTATGGCTAATGTGCATTCAGGAAAGCAAGTCCCCGTAAAGGCGAGTGGATTTATGGCAGGCAGTGAACCAACGAAAAAAAAGAACGGCTCTCACCAAGTAGGACTCGGTTCCCTTCGTTCATACCAAAGAGCCGTTCAAAATAATCGGATCCTTCGCGAACGTCACATCACTACTAGAATTGTAAAATAATATTTTGCCATTTTGGAAATTAATGAAGTTTGCAGAAAGGTTTTTAACAAGCCAATTAGCTTAGCTTAATTTAGCATGAAGACTGCAAACAGTTATCCTGGTTCTATGCAAACTGTAATTGTGAACATATACTCACCAGGAGCTTTAACCCTCACACATTTGCCACTTTCAATCTGTACAATAACCAAAGTGTAAACATCCATATTTTGTGAGAGTAACGTGCTGGGCATAGTGACTTCCTGCAGACACTTTGAGGTTTCGAGGGAGCCAGCAGAGACTGTAGAAATGTAGGTTTTAAACTTGTCAGTTTCTGTGTGGAATAAACAAACGAGACATCACGTTTTAAAAAATCTTCAGATGTGCTGGGAGCTGCATGTTTGTATACCTTTGGACAGAGCCAGGTTAGCTGTTTCCAGTCTTTATGCTGAGCTAAGCTGCTAATGCTTCATATTGAACACACACATATGAGAATGATTACAACATTCTTATCTAACACTCTAACCTAAGTGTATTCACCTAATCACAAGCTATTAGTTTTGACAATAGCTTTTAAAGAAGACAAGAACATCTCTCACAGTTAGAAGGAAACAACTTCAATAAATAATAGATTTGATTTGATTGAATTGAGCAATCAACCAAACGATTCCTCTGGTTACCGGGTAAATAAACTATATATATATATATATATATATATATATATATATATATATATATATATATAAGACAATAGCAGTTTTAAGGGAAGGTCTTTAGGACAAAGCATTTGTTGTGCAATGATGTCGTGTACTGTGAAAAACACAGCCTGTAAAATATTAACGTTTACTGCATACTTCCTCTTTTTTGAGTTATATATGGCTTTTGACTCTGCAGTACTCTGTGGAGAAGTAAAGGGAAAAAGGGAATAGTCCTATCTGTCCTTTTATTTGTCGTTGGGGGATATTTATCCTTCCAGCCATCCGTCTTTCTCATACATTTTCTGGTCACAGTATTTGTGTTTTCAGTGATTTTAATTGTATCTTCTCTGAAACGTCTGACTTTAAGCAAAACTCTTGATTGACATTGATTTGTAGGAGAATCTGGTGCTGGCGCTGAACTCGGCCTCTGCGATCGGCTGCACGGTGGTGAGCATCGATGCCCATGATCTGATGGCTGGGAAACCCCATCTGGTCCTGGGACTGTTCTGGCAGATTATCAAGGTTGGCCTGTTTGCTGATATAGAAATCAGCAGGAACGAAGGTCAGTGCACACACACACACACACACACACACACACACACACACACACACACACACACACACACACACACACACACACACACACACACACACACACACACACACACACACACACACACACACACACACATACACACACAAACGTGTACACTATTAATCTAGATGGAATGCAGTTGATGTTCCAGATATTATTAGATATATAAAACGTACCTACTACATTTAAAGGTCCCCTATTGTACTGTTTTTTATCAATATATTATAGGTCTCAGATATATACAAAACATGTCTCTGATTGGCTCCAAACACCAAACAGATCATTGCAGCATTACCCACAATCCCCTCTGTTTTAGCCCTGTTTCCAAAGTGCTGATTCTCTGTCTGTTACTTTAGATGAAAATAAGGAGCCCCTCCCCACGCCCCTCTGAGAGAGATTTGGTTACAAAGAACACAATGGTGCTCTAGGAGGAGATTCAGGTGATAAGGGGGGGGGGGGTTACCTTGGCTGCTGATTGGCTAATGGTTACACAAGCCAAAAAATCGTTATGACATCATAAAGTGTCCAAAATCTGATCAGCTAATTTTCAGACAGGTTTTTATAGAAATGGATCAGGACAAAAATAGAGAGAATCTTTTTTCCTGAAACTTTCAGAGTCTCTTTCCACAGAGGGGACACATGTTGATGTAGAGAGACATGAAGAAGAGGGGACACATGTTGATGTAGAAGAGACATGAAGAAGAGGGGACACATGTTGATGTAGAAGAGACATGAAGAAGAGGGGACACATGTTGATGTAGAAGAGACATGAAGAAGTGGGGACACATGTTGATGTAGAAGAGACATGAAGAAGTGGGGACACATGTTGATGTAGAAGAGACATGAAGAAGAGGGGACACATGTTGATGTAGAAGAGACATGAAGAAGAGGGGACACATGTTGATGTAGAAGAGACATGAAGAAGAGGGGACACATGTTGATGTAGAAGAGACATGAAGAAGAGGGGACACATGTTGATGTAGAAGAGACATGAAGAAGAGGGGACACATGTTGATGTAAAAGAGACATGAAGAAGTGGATTTTGCATAATAGGTGACTTTAATAGAGACCGTTTGTGAATGTGTTTCCAGCCCTGATCAGCCTTCTGGCAGATGGCCAGGAAAATCTACAGCAACTGATGTCCCTCTCCCCCGAGGAGCTCCTGCTCCGCTGGGTCAACTATCATTTACGCAACGCAGGAACCAACACCATCAGCAACTTCAGTGAAGATATTAAGGTCCCCTTCAGAACAAACATACACACACACACACACACACACACACACACACACACACACACACACACACACACACACACACACACACACACACACACACACACACACACACACACACACACACACACACACACACACACACACACACACACACACAGATGAGTTTAACCCCTTCTTGTGTTTCATCCCTGTAGGACTCGCGAGCCTACTTTCACCTTTTGGACCAGATTGCTCAGGAAGAACAAGACGATTACAAAATGAGAGTGAAAATTGAAATGAGCGGCCTGAGTGTGAGTCAGTGTGTCTTTGTACAATTTAATACGTGAAAAATATCAAATTTGAAGGTGGATTTTGTGAACCAGACACTGACATATGACAGATATGAGTATTTATTTGTAGGGTTCATTGTTAATTTCTCTGTTATTATTAATAATTGTAATATTGTGTGTGCACCTGCCAATCGACTGCATCGACTAAAAGCTAAAACTGGCATACTTTTGAGCATCATTATTTAGATGGTCCTTTTTTGATGAAGACTAGTTATAATAACAACAACAATGTAGAGTATTTTCCTTTTGGATTTTGGCATGGTTATATAATAAAGCTTTTTTTATATAGCACTTTTCATACAACACATGCAGCTCAAAGTGCTTTACAAAATGACACATCACAAGTTAAAAACAAACAACAACAAATTCCCCTCAGATTATCTGTTAAGAACTTTAAACGGTACATGCAGCAAAATATAACATTTTATCAGAGTTCAAATGTATGATAATAAAAATAAAATAAATAATGGTTTCTCTCTGACAGATCAGACACAAGACAACTGAGTCGATGCAACAATATAAAATATAAAACCCCATAAAACAGAAATAAAAAGATGAAGCCCTCTAAAATATATACAAAGTGTCTGATACCAAGCATGTACACGTGTCTGTTTGATGTGCATGTGTAGGAGCATAATTTGGACAAAAGGGCGGAGCTGATGCTGAAGCAGGCGGCGCGGCTGGACTGCAGACAGTTTGTTTCTCCTCATGACGTCACATCTGGAAACAGCAAGCTCAACTTGGCCTTCGTCGCCAACCTGTTCAACATGCACCCTGCTCTGCAGAAGGCTCACATCAACGGAAACGGCATCGACCCGGCAGACATAGCACGTGAGACATAGAATATAATCATTCATCCAGTATAATTACGCAGCGTCATGTTATAGCATTGAGGCTTGAAATGAAAGTTCAGTCATAAAATGCTGACATGCACACTCCAGTGCAAATAGTACTGCGTGATAAAAGCAATAAAAACACAGCAATTTATATCATCCATAAATCCATATCTGCATACAACCTATAGCTGCACCTAAAAGTATCCTATCAGCTGACAGTACATGTGTGGGAGCAGCTGGAGAAGGAGGAAAGGTTGATGTTTTTTATGTATTTACAGCTGAGACCAACGAAGAGAAGACATTTAGAAACTGGATGAACTCTCTGGGCGTCTCTCCATACGTCAACCACCTGTACTGGTATGTCATGTTATACATTAACCTAATCAAGGAAGTGGAGGCCTGTTAAACATCCAGACATTTACATATTATACCCAGAAGAACCATTGATAAGAGCAGTAAAGAGGGGACAGTTGTACCTTACCTGTAATACCTTCTGAACTTGTTTTTCAATGGTGCCATGAATTCACGTTATTATTGCTATTATAGTATCATAAGGCTCTACTGGTAAAATGGTGCCTTGCTCAAAGGTATAGCAATTGTATTAGTTGGTTTTCTGTCTTTTTTTTACAGCTTTTCTTACCAGCATCCTTATCTTAAACTAACCTTTAATTTACTTTAAAATAATGGCTATGCTCTGTAGTCCCTTCAGAATGAGTAATTTCCTCACCTGTAACAAGTGTTAACAAGGCAATATAACCAAGATTTGAACCAGGCTGGGGTCATTGTACCTTGGCAATTTAGCTATTGTACTTTTTGAGTTAATGTAGGCCTTGTTACTAATTCACCAGCACTTACTATGGTATGAACTTGCTTGAAGTGAATATATCTGCACTATCCTTGTTTGATTCTTTATGGTTTTTGCACTTATTGTAAGTCACTTTGTATAAAAGCATCAGCTAAATGACCCCTATTGACATCAGGACACATCTTCCGGTGCGAACTGAAAACTCATCTCTTTCGACTCCACTTCGAGCGATAGAATTACTAACAAATAATTACTAACAAAGCACTTATATACTAATAAAGGACTGGCTTATCTAAAGCCAGTTGAGTAGCACTTGAAATGTTTGGCTCTATGAAACCTGATGTACTTATATGATTCTGTTTTCTTCAAGTTTGTATCTTCTTGGTCGAATGCACTTAGTTTAGTTTAGTTTATTTATTTATAGTGACAGTCCCCATCGATGAACTGTCACAAAAACAGTAAATGGAGCAGCTTTAGCCGACATGGCTAATTTCCAGCTGTTGTCCCCGGCCAGATGGTAATAGACACCCTTAAAATTACAATATATCAACAGGATTAGTTATAAGAAAATATATAAAATAAAATAAAAAGGAGGAAAGACAAGTAGATACAGGTGTGAGGATAAAAGAGAACTATAAACAACACACGTTGCTATATACAGTACATGTCACATATAGCACATCACAATCACATCACAGAAACGAGGGGCAACATCCATGATCACAACATGTAACACAACATGTAACACTCACGCCATACTCAACACAGACTAGTGTGTGCAGGTGTAGTTCTCAGTGAACCACGTTTTTAAGTGAGCTGTGAAGGTGGGATGTGTATGTATGTCTTTGATTTGAGTGGGTAGAGAGTTCCAGTTTTGTATTGATGTGACCGAGAATGATGACTGACCAAAAGTACTCTTCCTGAATGGGACTGATAGTTCGCCACGTGTGGAGCTTCTAGTGGTCCGTCTGGTGTTGTTACGTTGAGTAACCAATTAACTTATTGTAAGTCGCTTTGGATAAAAGCGTCAGCTAAAGGCAATGTAATAATGTAATGTAAAATGATATGTAATGAGTCTATCTGAATCTGGTATGGAGATATTGGATTCCACATTGATTTATTGCTAAGAAATAATGAAATGTAAACATGTTGATTTGACAATAGACTGAAATTAGCCTGTGTAATATCCACAAAGGGTTAAACACCTGAACAGGAGCTCCATTTTACTTCTAAGTAATTAGAAAAGCTGATACTGAATCAAAATTAGCGCCGTGAAAACTTTCTTTTTAAGTCATTTTTTTATTCTGTTCTGTTTATTACATGGTTCTTTTTTTTTGTACAAAAAAAAGCAACTGTTACTGCACTGAAGTTCATTTTCCTCACGGTCTCTGTTTCTCCTCTCCAGGGACCTTTGTGATGGTTTGGTGATCTTGCAGCTTTGTGAGAAGGTTAATGTGCCCGTTAACTGGAAGAGAGTCAACAACCCGCCGTATCCCGTCCTGGGGGCCAACATGAAGAGGGTGTGCACATAAAACAGAGAAATTGAAAGCTCGTACACTAAACTACATGTTGATGTGAACATAAAAGGAAAGTAACATTGTTCTTCTTCACGTGTTTTAGCTGGAGAACTGCAACTATGCTGTGGAGCTCGGCAGGGACGTCGCTCACTTCTCTCTGGTCGGCATCGGAGGAGAAAACTTGAACTCTGGGAGCCGCATGCACACGCTGGCGCTGGTCTGGCAGCTGATGAGGAGGTTCATGCTCCATCCATGTTGTTTGGCAAAGACAAACTGTCCATAGTGAATACGATACGATACGATAATACTTTATTGGTCAGATCAAGTCTGAAATTTGACTTTCATCACAGCAGCTCCATGTGTAACATCAACAGACAAATATCAAGACACAGTACATGAAAAACAAACAACAAACATTTAACATAACAGCTCGATCACTGAGAGAAAACCTGCTCAAAGAGCGTGCATTTGATCTGGACTCAGCTCTGTGTTTACTGAGAGGATTGACTGGAGTACAAAGGATGCTTCAGTCTGACTTGATTGAATCTCCCATTAGAACAGGGGTGTCAAACTCAATTTCAACTCGGGCCACATTAGCATCATGGTTGCACTCAAAGGACCAGTTTTATATATATAAATATTTAATATATATAAAATCATTTATTATATAACATTATTTCCTCTGCATTGGATTATTATCGGATAGGTTAATCACTTCATAATTAACTACGTCTGAAAGCAGAAGTCTAGGGCAAACAATTGCAAGTCTCTTCAGTGAGAATGTCACAAAATGATTTAAAAAGAAAAGCCAAATTGTGAAAAAAAAAGTAAAATTCCGGGGGGGAATAAAATCATATTTGAGATGCATTGTGGGACATGTAGTTTATGGGCAATGTGCTTCTGTAAAGCGGCATGTAAACTATATGTATAATGTATAATAAACATATTATATTCTTTGCTCTTGTTGGGCCACATGAAATTAAGTCGCGGGCCGGATTTGGCCCCCGGGCCTTGACTTTGACACCCCTGCATTAGATGGTAGCGGTTCATATTCTCTGTTCAGAACATGCTTTGGGTCCCAGAGGATGTTGTTGGACAGCCTCACGAGGTTATTATGGTATGCTGAGTCATGAAGTCTCTGACAGGGTGGACCAACAATCTTTGAGCACATTTTTAACAAGTGGAGCAGTTTTGATTTTAAAGCGGTTGACTAACACTTGTACCAGGTAGTACTGTAGTACTCTAGAATAGACTAAATCACAGATGTAAAGAACAACAGAAGAATTTCTCTGCTCGACCCATTTGAACAGTTTTTGTTCCTTGCACACTTTGAGTTATCCCTCCTGCTCGTTATCCTTCAGGTACACGCTGCTGGTTTTGTCAGATCTGGGCGATGGAGAGAAGGTCAAAGATCAGATCATCCTCGACTGGGTCAACACCACCCTGACGAAATCAAAGAAGAGCACACAGATCAGCAGTTTCAAAGTGAGTGTGTTGGTGAGCAGAGGTGGGACGTAGTGGAGTACAAATACTTCGTTACTGTGTTTTTTCTGGTATCAGTACTTACCTCCACTACTTATTTTTCGGACGACTTTTACTTCTTACATGTTGAACACAAATACCTGTACTTTCTACTTCTCACATTTTCCAAACAGCTGGTTCCTTTAGTTTGAATGTGTGTTTGGTGGCGTGATCATTATTATTTAGAGTCATTGCGTGCCTATTGATTTGAACACGATCCGTGTATCCATCATTTCCTGGTCTTCTCTAAAGAAGAGGGACCAATGGAAACGTTGTCATGTTGCCGTTGTTCAGCATGGAAACATTCATTAGCTAACAATGACATTATTGTTCTATTAATATAAAGGGAGGTCAGGTACTCTTTAAAACAGCTGGTCGTTATGGGTACTTTTTACTGAAGTACATTTCAAAGCCTCTTTACTTTGACTTGAGTAAAGAAGTTTAGTCAGTACTTTTACTTTTACCAGAGTATTTTTAAACACGAGTATCTGTACTTGAGTAAAGGATGTGTGTACTTTTGCCATCTCTGTTGGTGAGAGAGTACGTGGTGTGAGTAAACAAAAGGCTGTATTTGACACTGCTTCCTTGTTTTCTGCAGGACAAACTGATCAGCACCAGTCTGCCGGTGATTGATCTGATCGATGCCATCGCTCCCAATAACGTGAAGTGGGACATGGTGAACAGAGGAGTGAAAGGAGTGCTGAAGGCGGACGATAAACTCAACAACGCAAAGTAAAAACACCAACTCTCAACAGGTTATTGTTCTTCATGTTCTTCATTTTGGTATTTGACTCTTCCTGTTCCTCCCCCAGGTATGCAATCTCATTGGCTCGTAAGATCGGAGCTCGTGTCTATGCACTTCCTGACGATTTGGTGGAGGTGAATCCAAAAATGGTGCTGACGCTGTTCGCCAGCCTCATGGGCTACGGTTTGAAAAAGGTCAACCGCTAAAACAAAAAGAAGACAAGAACCAACCACCAGGAAACCAACCACGAACATCCATTTTGTTTCTATGCGCTTTTCCTATTTTCCCCATCTTTTCCCCATGATTTTAATTGTTCCAATTGTAAAATCAGAACAAGACTGTTTCTCTTTTCATGCAAACAATAAGCCTCCCTAAAGTTGGAAATCACTTCTCATCAGGAAAGCCACTTCATTTGTTTGCTATCTGTGATTTCTATAGAACAATCTCCTAATTGTTCTTTTTTATATATTTAATAACGCATTACATGTATTGACTTTTTCTGCCATATAAACAGAAAGTAAGCCTCAGCAGAAAAAAGAAACAAAAACGGAATCATGAACATAAATATAATTTATGTCTGTAAATGTTGTGCATTGAATATTGCTATTTAATTAAAGAGATAATCTATTGAATGTATTGAGCAGCCTTGTATTTGTGTGTGTTGTGTCTGGTTAAATAAATATGAAAAACAACAGGTTGATTTTGAGATACTGAGCTACCTTTAAGGACAGTTGAACATTAGGATCATCCGACTGACATAGGTGAAGAAAGAGAACACATTTCAGCAAAACAAATGCAAGTTTATTTTATTGCTTTTTGTGTTATGTGTTTTTCCCTCAAAATTGCAAATGTACGTACACTTCACAGCTTCTCTCACCAGCATCCAAATCTAAAATTGACCTTTATTTTAAATATATGTTTATGTAATATGTTTTCTCTGTACCACTTAAGCCTTGATAACTTAGCAATTTCAGAGTTAGGGTTAAAGGTGGGGTAATTCACTTCAGAAACACTTTTTGTTATATTCCATGGAATGCTCTTAACATCCCGATAGCAATTAATACATTAAATGCTTTGACAATAAATATATAACAAAATGTCATCTGTGGAAGCCGTGGTGATGTAAAAAGCACGACCAATCATTTTAGCCGGGCCGGCTAAAATAACTGGATGGCCTACCTGCCTGTCAGCCTTCCATCTGTGCACAAACTTATCTCGTGCCCTCATTGGTCATGTGCGCGTTCGTGTGTGTTGGAGGAGGGGCTCTGTAAGGAAGTAGCAGATGTCTTCCAGCTGTGTATTTTCAAATTCTAGCGCACTGCCGCACTCGAGCTGGTTTCTCCAAAATGACCTACCCCACCTTTAAGTGTCAGGACTCCACATTGATATAATGGGCCACAATTAATCAATTGTAATAATATTTAGCCTAAAATAGAATGGACTAAGACTGTAAAATGCCTTAATATGTTTTTACAAAAGCCTGTGACCGTGACATAATCAAAATAAGGTAACTTCTTGAGGTTTAAGATGAGATGCAACACCATAAAAAAACAACAACGTAGAAATAAACAATTCTAAAATAGAAACATCTCAAAATAGAAAAAGAAAAGGCATTAGAGATTAGAAAATGTACAGTAGGCCTTAAAGATAAAACATCTGTACAACAACAAAAACGTACTTACAAAAGTCACTAACAAAAAGCCAGACTCTTCTATTACTTTGTTAATTAGAATTAATGATTGTTACCCAAACTGAGGTCGTATTTTTTTGTTTATCCCAAGTAAAGTCTCACTACTTTTCCACTGTATTCATATTTAATGTAAGCAGTTCATATATACGTCGCTAGGGGGAGCAGTTTGGAATTCGACTTTAAACAGTGGCGTAAATGACCCTCGATGGCTGCCGTACCAAAACAAAAAAGTCATTTTGGAGCGAAAGTTTTCGAAAGACATGTCAGGATGAACCGCACATGTAGGAGGGTGCTGTCTAAAACTACATTAGAAACATTTGATATTACATCTTGAAGAAGTGACACACCAAGCTGCTGTAAAGATGGAGGGACTGGAGATGTCAGCGATGATACCAGCTCTCCAGGAGCTAGCGAGGCGAGTAACCGGCTATAGTTGGTTAAGCTAACTCTAAACAGCATGTCAGACTCTGAAACTGCTGTTAATTAAACTGAGCATTATGTGTGATGGTTGCCACAGTATTGAGTTGATAAAAGACCTTCCCTGAAGCATGTTTCCATAAATAACGTTTCACCTTGTTGTTTTTTCAGTGCCAATGCTGCTGAATACGACCAGGCTGTGCAGAAACCTCGACAGATCCTGTGTCAGTTCATTGACAGGATACTGACAGATGTGGATGTCGGTAAGGTTCACTGAATCTGAAGCACGTACAGAAGGAAAACACAATATTAGAAACCCCTCACAGCAGGGACGTGCACAGGCATTTCGGGGGGCAGGGGCTCAAGCCCACTTTGAGGTCTATGTGTGCACGTGCCTGCCTCACAGTACAGTGACGACCTATAGTAGTAAAAAAACACCTTATTAAAGCTGCACAACTGTTCTGTTTTTGTGGAGTCTGTCAAACGTTTTGCTAAGTATATTCGTCTAATGCTATCTTTGAAATATAGGAGGATTTGGCCTACTGTACCTACTGTTCACTTTCCAAATAGCTACTTCTGAGTAGTTTTTAACATCCTAATAAATATTAAGAATTTTCCTCTTGCCACAATTTGTCAATTTCCCTTTCGCAAACAATAACCAAACAATGGCACATGGCATGACTAAATAACACCACATGTTATTTAAACAAAGGATTGATATTCTTAATAAATGCCAATTGTCATAACAAAGTAAGTTGGCCTCACACGGGCTATATGGAGTTCAAGAGATGTCTATAATTGAGCAGTTCAATTTAAGAGGTGTTTTATTCAAAGATGTACAGGTCTGCAGAAGAGACGTATCAAGAAATTCACACAAAAAACACGTTAATGTGTGTAGAATAGATAATGGAGTCTTTCTTTTCTAACACTGTTATCATACTGTGACTTTTATGATTAGTCTTGCAACCCATTAGGGCTGGTGAACCAGTTCAATAAATCAAATCGATTGTCTTTTCTCTTCCAGTTGCTCTAGGACTGAATAAGAAGTCCAGTTCAGAGCCGGCCTGTGTGATGTTGCTGGACTTTGTGCAGCATATCATCAAATCGTCGTCTCTGATGTTCGCTAACCCCGCTTGCCAGCCTGCTGAGTATCCAGACACCACACAGAGCTGCACTGGTAGGAGCCTCTTTAAAAAGCTGCAATATTACTAACGGCTGCATTAAGTTGGAATCAGGTGGATGGCAGACAACAATACTCATGGATGGACCTAGAAAAACAAACACAGTTATCAAAGAAATGATCAACTTCTCATTGTTCGTGTTTTCTCTTTGTGTTGGGGTGTAATGTAACATCTACTTGTTATTTTCGTCGTGGAGGATGCCAACATGTTTAACTTTGGATGACAATAATGTCTACCATGATTGTTCCCAGTATTCTCCTGCTCTCATTAACTTCCTACCGTCTACTTGAATCCATGTAAATGCGGCATCTTCCTATCTATTGTTTTATCGGGTGCTTTTCTTCTCCTCTCCATCTTGGATTTTTTTGGATGGCAACAATACTCATAGACGGTCCTAGAAAAAACACAGTTATCAAAAGACAATGATCAACTTCTCATGTTTTCTCTTTGAATGGGGGGTGCAGTGTAACATCTACTTGTTATTTTCCGCGTGGAGGATGCCAACAACGTTTAATTTGTATCTTTTAGATGACAATAATGTCTACCATGATTGTTGCCAGTATTGTCTATGGGTGCGTTTCACTTCGGTTAAATGGATTCCTTGCGTCCCTCACTTTTCGTCGTTTCCCTGCGACTAGTCCCTCCCACCAGGGAAGCATGGAGAGACGCAAGGAAACCACGAGAAGCAGGGAAATGAGTTTTAAGAGCAATGGGACGTCGTTTCCTCCGGAGCGTCACGTGAAGCGACGTCCGTTTGTGATGACGCCGCACAGCTGATCGTCTGAGAGCAGCCAGATCAGTGCATGCGCTGCATCGTCCAATCAGTGAGCGATACACAGTAAGGGGGCGGGGCGAGTGTCTGAGGATTTCACCGGAGGATGGTCTGGTAGTTCCTCGATTATCGCTCCTCCGTTATCACTCCTCGATCCTCCAGCAAAAATAAGGCCACTGGGACGGTACTCAAGATGGCGCAGACAAATCAACTTCCGGTGAGACCGAGACCGAGGAGCGAGGAAATGAAAAATAAGAGAAGTGAAACGCACCCTGAGTCTCATTTAGGTTCCATGTCCTGCTCTCATTAACTTCCTACCTTCTGCTTGAATCCATGTAAATGCAGCATCTTCATATACGATACGATAATACTTTAACGGTCAGATGAAGTCTGAAATTTGACTTCCGTCACAGCAGCAGTGTGTAACTTCAACATAGACACATATCAAGACACAATACATGAAAAACAACATTTAACAAAACATCACAATCACTGAGAGAAAACATTTTCAAAGACCCTTCAGCGTGCATTTGATCTGGATTCAGCTCTGTGTTTACTGAGAGGACTGACTGATGCACTATTGTTTTATCTTTTCCTCTCCATCTCTGATTGTTCCTCATTCCTCTCTCTCCACAGACTTCAGTAAGTGGGTGGTGGTGCGTTTGCTTCGCGTGGCAGCGGCGCCAGACTGTGACATCATCCACGTGCGAGTTTCTGCCGTGTTGTGCTCTCTGCTCCACACCCTGAGAGCCAGAGCGCCTTTCATCTGCAGCCGCCTCACTCGGGACCTCGTCTTCTTGTCCCAGGACCTCAGCAACGTCCTGTACGCTCACATTTCCACACTGTCAGGACATGGATATTCTCTTGGTATTCACACACTGAAACCATGGCCTGTAACGCTCGAGTGCTTCAGTATCTCCCCCCTCTGTTCCTCCCACTACCTCACCCCCTCTCCTCTCGTTCTGTCCTCTCCTGCCGCCCTGGAGTCGCTGACTGCGGTGGCGCTCGGTGTCGTAACGGACGCCCTGCGAGGAGTCGTCTCCCGTCAGGATATCAGCGTCGCCTGGGAGACGGCGTGTTCCTTCCTGGCTAACGGCAACACCAGGTTGAGGAAGATCTCCATGGTGATGTTGAGTCGACTGGTGGAGCTTGGAGGGTTTCCTGAGATGCACGGCCACGAGTTCTTCACGGCTTACCTTCACCTGCTGGAAACACACTCTTACACGTACACAGAAAACTCAGAGGAGAAGGATCCGTACGCAGGAGAGCTGCTGCAGCTGACTCGCTGCGTGTTTCAGACGACCGCCGTCTCTCACACACACTTTGAACCCATCCATCTCTCGCAGATGTTCGAGTGTGTTTGTACTCTTGGAGGGTCAGATGTGAAGTTGGGGGCAGAGGTTACCGAATCGCTCTGCTTGCTGTTCGGCTTCTTGCTCTCTGGTGCAGTGGTTTATGAAAGTGCTGCGTTGTTGCGACGGCAGCGAATCACAGAGGTCTGCAGGACGCTGGCACGCACCGTCGGAACGGAAAATCAGGCTGAAGTATGAGTCTCTTTTAAACCCCTCTCTCTTTT